AAGACGTTGAAAATGATCAAATTTTGTTGTTAAAAGTAGGACCTAGGATCGAAATAGATGAATCCACACAAGATAGTTCATTGCGTCGAGATGATGTTTATCCTATTATCGTTGAGGGTCCAGAACAGTCTAATAGAAGCATAGATGCGAGCAATGTGGATTATTTTATAAATGACGAATCGGACGATGTGGACGCGTCAACTGATAATGATATAGATGATGTTGATGATGAGTACTATAGCGAATAAGTATTCCTCCAAGTATGTCGATTTAAATATATGTTGGATAAATTATGAATCAATTGATTTATGTTGACTATTTGTTTTGTCAATATATAATACGTTTCGTTGGTTGCCTAGGTTCGCAAAAAATGAGACCAGACCAAGCAGGTCAGTTAGAGGCACACGTACAGGGTCGTGAGCATCCACCAGCAAACCTGCCTGTTATGGATTTTCCTCCAGGTACGTCAATTTAAATATGTGTAAAATGAATAAGTATGATTTTACAAACTGGTTCACTGTTTGGCAACATACAGATAGATTAGGCGTGCAAGGATATACTCGATTGATAGAGCTAGAAAATTAAGTTCATGCAACGAACACAAAGGTACGTATCGTATGTGACCGCACAGTTAATAAACCAATATGTCCCATGGCCACCACATTCTCTATGGCGATCGGGGTACATACACGGGAACAAGTGGACCTAAAGGTTAACAAATGGAGTGAGGTCGAAGAAATTCAGAAGAGGGCAATTATAACTCAGCTCAAGGTTTGAGATTAATTACTAAATATGTTTTATCTTTTGTTATAATGCAACAGTAATAACACTTTAATATATGTTCGATGTTTTTTTGTTGTAGGGTCATTTCGATTTCAACGAATCAAATCGAGTCATGATGAAATTCATCGAGCATGAGATGAGAACGACACATAAGGCGTATAGGGCAAAATTGCGCCAACACTACCTGAGTTTTCCTACACCTGAGATTGCGCGCAACAATCCTCCAGAGCGGTTGTTGGCAAAACCAGACGATTGGAACATGCTGTGCGATAGATGGGAGACAGATGAGTGGAAGGTAATTTACGAATATCACTTATATTTTTCTTTTAGAATTTATATTTAATATATATTCTCATTTAAGTTTTCTTTTGTTAGCAAAAATCTGAGACCAACAAACGCAACAGGGCAAAGATGTCATTCAACCATCGTGCGGGGCCGAAGCGTTTGCTATTATTGCAAAGGAGAAGGTACAATGCAATAATATTTTTTTAGCCATATACTTATATTACTTAAGATCGATTATCAACAATTATGTGTTATCAATTGCAGAAAGACGAAGAGGGAGGTGACAACTTTTCTGAAATCGATTTGTTCAAGGAGATGAGATATTCTGACACTAAAGGTTGGGTCGAAGGAGCGGAGACAGCTTACGTAAGTTTTACAAATCTTATAACAATTAACTTCAAATTATGCATTGAATTTTATGTGTAAACATTTTGTTCTTTTTAAAATATGTATGCAGCTAGACATGATGCGTGTTAGAGAAGCATCTATGGAAGACGGAGGTGAACCAATACCAGACTCAAAAGTATTGGAGACAGTTCTTGGTTATCGTTCAGGATACGTTAAGGGTGCTGGTTGGGGCCCAAAACCAAAGTCTCCTAGAGGTTCTTCTTCAAGTGTAGCATCAACACAGCGGGAAGAAAAGCTGTCACAAGAAATATGTACTCTAAGAGAAGAATTTCAGGACCGTCTCACGCAGAAAGATAACGAGTTAGATGAGCGTCTCGCAGCCAAAGATTCTGAGATTACGACTCTACGCAGTGAAATGACAGATTTGAGATCAATGGTGCTACAAATTATGAGTCAGTGTAGTGGAGCCAGCTCGTCAAAATAAGTGCGTCCATGTAGAGTGTTGTTAGGATTCAATGACCGTAAATGTGGCTATCCTGCAGTTATGGTAGCAATTTAGAACGTGTATTATGAATTATTTAACTATGTTTATGTTTGAGTGCATGTTTGAAGTGTTTTAGATATTAAAGCAAGCGAATTTTCTGTGAAGTGAATCTTTGAAGTGAATTGATACGTCAAGTATAGTGTTGTTAGAATTCAATAATTGTAAATGTGGCTATCCTGCAGTTATGGTAGCCATTTAGAACATATGTCATGTATAGTTTAGCTACACTTATTATGTATAATGTGGTTTTGGATGATTTTGTTGAATCTGTTAAATGAATTGGTGATTGTTGATGTTTTACATAATAAAAGCAAGTTTTGAGAATTTGAAGTTTGAAGATTAGTTTTTCTTAACTTTGTGGGGTTTTATACGTACCTTTCCTTTAGTTTGTATAATTTGAATTGAAGTTAATGAGAGTTATAT